TATTTTTTCCTCAAAATAGTCCGAACAGTGGTTACACATGTTAAAGAATTTTATCTTAATGTGTATGATTAATAAAGATATTTTTAAAAAAATAATACCAATTTATTATAAGTACCTAACATAACTAATTTCTGTAATATTTTCAAATTAGTTAGCTAGCCTTTTATATCAAGAATAGAAGTAAATATTACTTTTACAGGAACCAGCTTAAGTAATAAAAAAGCGAGTATTACTTGGTAGTATAATAAAAAATTGTGGATGTCTTAGTGTCTTACCTTTTAACTCAAAAAAAAAAAATCTTTGAAAAGTCCTAAATTAAAAATTTTATTAGTTAGATGGACCTAATTTTAATTGCCTTGAATAAGTAAAGCTGTTATTAATACGGATCTTTCACGGATAGGTTATTCTTAGTTTGGTATGAAAAAATGTTATTGATAATGATTTTATTTTCGGAGAGGAGATAATATAAAAAATTATTCATAAAGAATTGAATGAAGTAGACAATTTTATAATTCGTTCAATTGAAAACACTGTACTTGTAAGGAATCAAGTTAGGTTAGACAGTTTTACGAGAAACTACTCATTGACTAATGTGTTTCGGCCGAAAAAAGAAATTGACTAATGTGTCTGATATTCATACGAGGGGGTCAAAGCGAGATTTCATGAAGAAAACCATAGTATGAATTGTGGAGGTGGTGAGAACAATTTTGGATATATTGGTGTGCTTTTTGCATAAAAAGTTAATAATGTTGGATCCAGCATGTTGTCATAGCTTACGTTAAAAAAAAAAAAGAGGTTATAATAACGCACATAAAATAACATTTCATTTGAAAAAAAATATAAAAATAACTTTGAATTTAAGAATTTGCTAATTACTCCCACCCATATATTAGTCTTGAGGCTTGTTTTGGTTTAAATTATAAATATACAAAAAAAAAATTTCTATGAAACACTAAATACCTTTCACATTAAATTGAAGATAGTAATTAAAAATAATTAAATACAAGATAGAAATTTAAACATTAACATTAAGTCGAGGGTATTTGCAGGGATAAAATTCAATTTATAACACATTTAAAAAAGATAACTGTTTCTATTTTCTTAAGAAAGAAATTGGTGAGCTAGCCAAATGAAGAGAGAGGTTACAAATTAATTAATTGTTGTGGTTAATCAACGAACAACTATAAGGACATGCATATATAGGCGTGTATAACTAATTAACGCGTATAAGGTTGCTTTCTCACATACAGTCCCACAACGATGAACGACCGACCCCTGCGCAATCGTGACGAAATTAACTTGTCGGGGCACAACCTGGTAATATATAGGTCTTCTGAAAGATCATGAGAGAGACAATGTCTGGTTTTGATCTGAAATCTCGATAGCACTCGTCCAATCAGTAATATAAACTCTAATTAGAAAGTTGATGTTGATCTTATATATAAATCTTAATTCACATGTTTATCAGTTTTTTTTAAATTAACCTTATAAATATTTTATTGACAATAATCAAATAAGAGAAAGGAAAAAAGAATTAAAAAAGATATTTAGGGTGTTTTAAGAAAAAAAATATCATATTAACTAATTTAATTAACATTCTTAATCTATTCAAATTAGTTAATAAAGTCTTATACTAATGATGGGAAGAATAATACATAGTGACTGTGACGCATTCATCTGCGCTCTGTGTTTTCTGGGCGTTGACGAACCAATAATTACACATCCTTGTTCCTCACTTAATTCGAAAGCCATAAGCTGTACGAATATACATATACATACATACATACATACATACATATATATATATATATATATATAGAGGTTAAGCCAATGATGGCTTCGAAACAATTCTTTAGACCCTTTCGAGGTCCAGACACATCTAATTTCTTAAAGAGTTTTTTTTTTCCCTTGTTGATTCTACTTTAAATTTCAAAGAAAATGTTCTTCAAAATAAAAAAAATATTGCTACATTTCGCAAGTGCCAGTTTCCAAATGCTAATCATCGATCGTCCTTATCATATAACCCTATATCCTAATCTAAAAGTTCATCACGGATTGCCTTTAGGTAATTAGCTCCTTTGAATTCTAAACCCACAATGAAATTATAGGCAGTCCATAATAAGTAGGACGATAAACAAGCTCTGTTGACAGATACTCCAGTTTACAACCATTTTTTGAGCTTAGTTTTCCAAAAAGAGAGATATAGCGTCATCCTATATATATATAACCCTTTATTTTTGTTTGGCACGCAATTTGGTTTCACGTTATTAATCATTAAAATCATGATTCTGATGGAAGTATAGGTTCCTAATACGAAACTGAGTATACTTTTGAGCATTTCTCCCTATGCCTTTTTATGGGTGAATATGCACTATTATTTGGGTGATTCAACATGAATTCTCCCGACAAGTATAATCCACCACTCTTTTTTTAAGCATTATAATTGTAAACATCGAGAACATAAGTTATCATGAGACATCATAGTGAGCAGACAAGTCTCCGTAACTTTATTTCATGAATTTCGAAATAAACTGCCCATATATTTGTTGAACATATGAAGATAAGGCCTTGAAGGAGCAAAATATATATCGGAGCCATATGCCACTGGAGAATAGGTCTGGCTTCACTATGATTGGAAAAAGTTCTAATTGTACGAGGACTAGTTGTTATAGGCATTGATGTTCAATAGATTAATTCTCCTTATCACGGTCACCGGTGTGATGGTTGCCGGTGCAGTTTTTTGTCACATATTTTTTTGGGTATGGGAAAACATTGGTTCAAAGTAGCAGTGGTGGGATTTGATCATACAATCCCTTGGCCACTTGGGCCAACAAAAAGAAAAATAATCATTGGGCCATCAAAGACTTCTTAATTTTATAATGCAAACAAAAATATAAGTTAACTTTTTTATTGTGACTCCAGCCCGTAACAACAATTTACATAAGGATGACAAGTCTTAATTGAGAAATAATAAATCTAAATTTGATATTAATAAAGCAACTTTTCCTGATACATAACAAGAAGTAGCATGTACATTAATTAAAAATTACCATAATTTATTTGAAAATGACACGTCTTTACTGAAAAATGACAAATCTAAATTTGAGATTAACAATGTGTCTTTTTCTGATGCATAACAAGAAATAGCATGTACATTAATTAAAAATGATCATAATTTATTTGAAAATGATATGTCTTTACTGGAAAATAACATGTCTTTAGTGGAAAATGACAACAATTTATTTAGAAATATACATGTTATTTCTTATTATGTATCAGAAAAAGCTACTTTGTTAATACCAAATTTAGACTTGTCATTTTGCAATAAAGATGTGTCATTTTCAAATAAATTATAGTCATTTTTAATTAGTGTATATGTTATCTCTTGTTATGTATTAGAAAAAGACACATTGTTAATTTCAAATTTAGACTTGTCATTTCTAGTAAAGACATGTCATTTTCAAATAAATTATGGTTATTTTTAATTAATGTACATGTTACTTCTTGTTATGTATTAGAAAAAAGTTGCTTTGTTAATATCAAATTTAGACTTGTTATTTCTCAATTAAGACTTGTCATCCTCAAGTAAATTGTTGTCATAGGTTGGAGTCATAATAAAAGAGTGAACTTATATTTTTGTTTGCATTATAAGGTTAAGAAGTTTTTTATGACCCAATGGTCATCTTTTTTTTTTTTGTTAGTCCAAATAGCCAAGGGGTTATGGGATCAAATCCCACTCATGTCACTTTGAACCAATATTCTCTCATATAAAAAAAAACTGTGACAAAAAACTCTACTGGTAGCCACCACACCGGTGGCCAGCAGCCAGCGGTGGCTGCTGGCCATCGATGAGGGGCTGAGCCATTTTTTTAAGAAAAAGAACACAGCATATTTTTGTCATCAATCGTCCCTATCATATAACCCAATATCCCAATCTAAAAGTTCATCACGGATTGCCTTTAGGTAATTAGCTCCTTTGAATTCCAAACCCACAGTGAAATTATAGGCAGTCCATAATAAGTAGGACGATAAACAATCTCTGTTGCCAGATACTCCAGTTTACAACCATTTTTTGAACTCAGTTTTCCAAAAAGAGAGATATAGCGTCATCCTATACATATAACCCTTTATTTTTGTTTGGCACGCAATTTGGCTTCAATTTGGTTTCATGTTAGTAATCATTAAAATCACGATTCTGATGGGAGTATAGGTTCCTAATACGAAACTGAGTATACTTTTGAGCATTCCTCTCTATGCCTTTTTATGGGTGAATATGCACTATTATTTGGGTGATTCCACATGAATTCCCCCGACAAGTATAATCCACCACTCTTTTTTTAAGCATTATAATTGCAAACATCGAGAAGATAAGTTATCACGAGACATCATAGTGAGAAGATAAGTCTCTGTACCTTTATTCCATGAATTTCGAAATAAACTGCCCATGTATTTATTAACCAGAGTTAGGTCTAGTTGAAGGGTTAATCCCTCACAGCATGGTAAACCAAGTTTCGAATCTCTGCTGGAGATGTGCTTATATTAGTGCTAAACAGTGCATCGAATAATATTGCTTCTAATAAGAGGATACTTGTACTTTAATAAAAATAAACTGCCCACATATTTGTTCAACATATGAAGATAAGGTCTTGGAGGAGCAAAAAATATATCGGAGCCATATGCCACTGAAGAATAGGTCTGGCTCCACTATGCTTGGAAAAAGTTGTAATGGTACAAGAACTAATTGTTGCTGTTATAAGGACCCAGATAAATTCTGCTAATGATGATGACTGATTTTCCCCAATTTAAGCCTAGAAAACTAAAATCCAATCCACCTTTATTTAGTCCATTTCTTTTGTGGGTTGGGCTGATATTACTGGAAGCCCATTGGGCTAAGCAATTTGGGAGACTCCCAACAGATTCTTTAATCACTCACCATCCCAAAAAAAACCAACACATCTCATTGCCACTTCCTGCGAGGTGCGAGCTCGACTAGTATATTGATCAACGAGATCAAGCTGGAAGTCCTCACTCATCAGTTGAGTACCTGGGTTCTATTATCGTCGACATCCTCAACGAACAGCGTTTTCTATTCACACTCTTGAATCTGAACTCTATTGAGCATTTTGAATTACCCTCTGTCCATTCCATAGGGTTTCTTGAGGTCTTGACTAGCAACAACACTGAACTGAAGCAATGATGATTCGCCTGGCTGCTAAGTTGTCAACAGCTTCTTCTGCTATTGCTCGAACTTCCAATTTAGCCTTCATTTCATATAGCAAGCCTTATCTTGTCTCATCCGCACCACGATTTAGGCTATTCCACAATGGTTCGGATGGTTCTTTGGCAAACCCCGTTACTATTCAGATGATCAACTATGCTCTGTCTCATGCGAGGTCTCAGAAAACAGGTATATGGTTTTCTAAGCTCTTCCAACTTTGTTTTCCAATTACCCACTTTGAGTTGAGTTTTGTGGTTTACATTTTTTTTTTTTTTTTCCTGTTCTGGCGTGATTGGTGTCGATGTAGCTGAATCGTATGCACAAGGCCTGCTGGTGTTGGAACAGTGCCTTTCGACTCTCTCATGTGAAAGGAAAGATCCCTCTGATGAAAACTCAAGAGGAATGGTGTTACTAGCTATGTCTACCTTGTTGTCTGAAAGGTGACTTTTTCCTTCCTTCCTGACATTACAAACCCCATGTTGGCGCATAATTTCTGTTTGATAGATTGTTAAGCTTGTGAAAGTTTATCTTGTTTAATTTTTCTTAGAGGTGATTCTGATGATGCAATCGAGAAGCTCCGTAGTGTTCAACAATTGACCAGTTCTTTCCTGGGAGTGAGAGGTGAATTTACATTCATAATAATAGCGCATCTGCTTTTCCAATTTGATATCTTTATAAGAAGTGCCCATAATTTAACGGTACTCTTGGCTTTCTTGTTGTAGTTGCTGCCTTCGAAGCTCTGGTAGGTCTGCATTTAGAGCTGGGCCAGGTTGGTTGCTAACACATTGCAAAATATCTACTTATTTCTCCCAGTAATACTCATATTTATTTGAAGAAAATTCTCCCCTATAGGATGATAAATCATCAGTGCTCGCAGATAAATGTTTAGAGCTCATGGAGAAACATGAAGCAGGGTGTGATGGCAAAGATTTTGAGACTCTAACTACTCGTGCAAAATCAGTAAAAGGGTTTGTTGAACTTGTCAATGGCAATCTTGAGTCAGGTACTTCTAAATTCTTGTTATTATCCGTTTGATTATTTATCCCACTCATCCTTTAATATCTAAGTACACCTTGTGCGTCTGGTGCAGCTGAAGCATTCTTTCAAGGTCCTCCTGATGTCAGACTATGCAATGGTACTTTTCGTTTTATCAGACACTATGTCAGACATTTATCCGTCCCAAATTGATATTTGAAAATATAGGCAGTGTCGCTCTATCATATGGGGAATTTGTACATGCCAAACAGAACTTTTCTTTGGCAAAGGAGGTTTATCAAAAGGTCATAGATGGAGGTTCAGAGAATAAAGATTTTGGGAACCCTTTTCTCTTAGCAGCTGGTAACATGAACTCAGAGGGTTTAATGTTGGGGGCCATGTGTGCTTTGGGGCAGCTTGAATCACATATGGGGTAAGTTCAATAATACTTTTCTTCTGCTACAATTTTCTAGTCTTATAACTTTTTGGGGTATTACTAATACTTGCTATCTAAATTTCAGTAACTTTGGTGATGCAGAGGAGTTATTGACAACGGCATTGACAAAGGCAGAGGAATCTTTTGGTTAGTTATCTGTCCTTTAAATTGTTGTATCCAATTACAACAACAATAACAAGCCTTATTCCACTAAATGAGCTTGGGTACATTAATCACATGATGTTACTGTGTTTTATCAACAGTCATCTCTTGAGATATATCATTCACCAAGAGATCCTGTTTGATAACTTTTTTGACACTCTTTTTTGGTCTCCTTCTACATCCCTTTGATGGGGCTAAAAACCATCTAACTTGGTGTACAAATTTTATATAGCAATTATTTGAAAGACTGTTACCGGTAAAGTTTATTGCTAATCTTTTGTGATGAATAAATGTAGGCTCTCATCATCCCAAGATTGGGGTTGTCTTGAGTTGCATAGCTCTCATGTTTAGGCGGAAGGCAGTGCTTGAGCGTTCAAGTTCTCTTTTGATTCAAGAGGTAAGAGCCCTCCAAAAGCCAAGTTCTTGTTCACTTTTGAGATTTAAGAAATTGAAAGTTTTAATTGAGCCATTCTTTTGACACATGCACAGCCCTCTTGCCTCGGCAGAGGTGCTTCAGTCTGCTTTAGTTTTATTACAGAGTTGGTTTCATCTGTTTTAGTTTCTATTATCAATCCGTCTTCTTTTACTCCCAATGTGCTAGCTTATATAGAGTTTGTCTTGTCACTGAAAAATTGAGTGACCTTCAATCTGGTTTAGTTTAAACCAAATTTCTGCTGAGGCGAGTCTTATAGTCTGACAAGTAAAGGAGTCGTCCTTGAGGACTTTAGCAGATCTTTTCTTAGTTAGCTTACCAACTGCTGTGCTCGTAATTTATGGTGTAATTAGACTTGAAACCTTTGACAGGGGCTGTACAGAAGGGCTATAGAATTGTTGAAGGCTCCACCGTTGGAGACTGAAGGTAATGTTGATGGGTTTGTTTGGTGCCCACACACTCTCACACACGAGACACATGCATTTATGATGTATATATTTGAAAATGAGCTTTATCTGGGTAGGTGCTGTGACTTCTATGGATCGAGGAGATATAGTGGCCCTTGCAAGAGGTAAGATGGACCCTTTGATTCATTATAGTGTAACTAGTGTTACCAAAGTGAAGAAGAATCAATATACCAGTATAAAGTATAAATGTGTTAGAAGTCATATTGTTTGTTTATAAGCCATGAATATTGCAACCCATCTTGGGCTTGGTGCAAAATGATGGGCTACCCTCTAGTTCTAGTCAAATAAATGATGGTGTTCAATGTTAGCTTTGCATGTTAACAAGTACTCTTGCATCTTGTAGCACCCCTTCAAATACTGTCTCTTTCACATGCACACAGAGGTATACATCTTTGTGTGCTCGTGTTTCAGCTTGGGTTTTAAGTTGTATTATGAATGGTAGTTTTGTGATTCTTTTTTCTCTTTTCATGTTTAATGTCATGCTAACAGGCATGGATGCTGATATAAAGATAACCATATTATGGGCCTATACTTCACATGGAATCTAAAATGTGCCACATTGTTAATGGCTTATAAATAGTATGACTTCATATAGATTTTACTTTGCATATTGAATATTGATGACATGTTTATTATGGATGCTGATGTAGCTAATAACTAGACTGTGTCTGTGCATTTACAGGGTTCAAAATGAATCGCACTGTTAAAATATCATTACGAGTTTTATGAGTTAAAGTGTAGGAAACATTTTATTGGAGAGAATATGATTATGCTTTTATAGTGTTAATACTTCTTAATCATCTTATGAGGCACACCTGCATATTTCCAACTATGATTTATTATAAATTCTTAACGAAGTAGCGGTCTCATTTAAGGTTAGTTTTTTTTTTTCCCCTCTTCTTGATATTACATTTCGGATTTAGGGGCATCCTCAGACTTTACTTGAAAGTAAATGGAAATAGGGTGCTTGGACACTCTGAAGGGCGTTCAAGGCTACCCTCATGACTGCTAATATTGAAGCTGAAGTTGTTTACTGACTAGAACCCAATGTTGCAGGTGGATATGGTGATGTACTCAGTGTCCAAGAAAACAGAAAAGTTCAAGGAGAGAAGATGAAGAGCTGGGCAGAGGCGATTTGGAAGAATCGGAGGTTGTCTCTGGCAGAGGCTTTAGAAATCTCAGATTCATCTTCCAAGGTCCCTATTATCGATGTTCGGATTAGCCGGATTATATAAGTCAATCCATCCTCTAGTTAGGTCTTCATACTGGTCAGATTCTACACCCAACCTCACTTAGTGGGATACAACTTCTCGTTATGAGCCAATTCATCCGTGTCATATTTTGTCTCTACGGCATCAGGTTAAAAGAGGAGGCTTTTGGCACGGATACTATATTGGTGAACAATAAAAACTGTTAAAATGGGTGGTGCGGGATACTTTTGCCAAGAGCTTGTGTCACGGCATTGCCAGTTAACTTGACAAAACGGGACATACGTAATTCTTTTGGATTGCATCTATAACGTCGCAGTTGTACTTAGTGTGTCAAATCATCAAATGGAACCTTATGTATAGGTGGTGTTATGTATTTTTATTACAAGTAGCCGAAAGAAAATGATTTTAGTAAATCTTTTAGTCCTTGAAAGCACATAATTTTAGTTTGTTTTTATAGATTTGGAATGCGTCATTTCAACATGTGAAGGCAAATTTTGTTTTTATATGTTGGATATGGTCAGACCCGACGTAAACTTTTACAGAATTCCGAGTTTCACTGGGGCTAATTCAATTTTTTTTTTTTTTTCTCCTCTCAAACTTCTTCAAAATGCAGAAAAGAAGACGAAGATTTTTTTTTTTGGGGGGGGGGGAGGTGTTTGTCAATAACAGATATTTGACGTGTCTCTAATCTTCATCCGTTAATGAAGAAAATGAGAAATTCATCAGTTAAATTTTTATAATTTTGACTTGACTATCATTCTATCCATGAATTTTAATTTACTGTAGTTCAGCCTTAGACTGAAATTTAATATCTGAAATTGATCTTTTCGATTTACGTTTAGTATATTAAGGTAAAAAAATATCAAAGTGATATTTTGTCGGGGAATTACCAGGAAAGCCCCAGAAAAAAAAAATTAATTACCAAAAAAATCTTGATGACAAGTGATCAACAGAAACTTGTTGTCATTCTCTATTCTTAAATTTATTATTGTTTACTCTTTACTTAATAGATTTTAAGATGATTAAATCTTTTCCTTAAAATCTGATTGTAATTCTTCCTTCTTTTTTTTTTTAATTGGATAAAGCAATGATTGAATGCGTTCGCTGCTGTGGATTAGTAAGAATATGCCCATCTTATAAAACCAGTCAAGGCCTATGTCTTCATCCCCTAAGTAAAACGGAAATAAAATGCCAGGTCTTCCGCGATGGATTCAAAGAAAATATTCTACAGTATAGCAATACTCTTCCTTCTTCACATCATATTATTTAATCACTCTGTTGCTATTTTTAAAATAATCTGATGTTTTCTTAATGTCTTTCATTAAATACTCTTCTTCTTCCTCTCTCAAACTATGAGTTCCATATTGGATAACCCATATGGGAGAAGGGGCTTATAAATTCAGGAAATTTTCGCACACAATAGGCTAATCCTTTGAAAATGAGCTCCATCTCCCTATATCTAATTTACAAACCACACACTATTAATAACTAAGAAATTCTATTTGGAAGCATTTTTTTTTTTCAAAATATATTCACCACTGTATGAAAAACAGTGTAATTCAAGCACGATAACAAGTGAATGAATTAATAATGCCTTTCATCTCACAGCCCAGTCTAAATTATTGGCCTTCATAGAGCCGGCAGTAGTAGTATATTCCATGGATAAAAATATGAATTTTATGAATTTTAAATAGGACTCTCATTTAATTAGCTTAGGGAACACCGTCGAATCCCATGCATATATGCATATGCCAAATGGCATTCAACACATATCAGATTCACACACAAACAGCTGCCTGAAAGATAATCTTCAGATCATCGTCATCATTAACAAGTGTTTGGTATGGCAGAGGAGAATCAAGGAGTTAAGCCTCCTCCAGAGCTGCCTGATCAGCCCTTGCCAAGTAACTATTTGGTTTCCCCTCTTCATTTATTTTATTTAATCATTATTCTTCTTATTTTTATTTGATATTACCTCATGTCTTAATATAAGACCTCGTTTGACTTTTGTTTGATCCTAGATATAAGATTCCAATCCGCTTTGTTTCTCATATTTATGTAATTTTTTCCAAGGTAGTCCTTCTAATAATGGGAATTTTAGCCAATACACTTGACTAATGAGAATATTTTAGGAAAGATAACACATATTTATTACAAATAGCTAACTTAACTTATTTTCTTAATCTCCTCAAATTAGTCAATTAGCTCTTATAATTAGGACCAGAAGTAGTATAACGTATACTATGGCTCAATTTATATATGCATATATTGTTAGATTAATCCGTAAAGATTCTACTCCTCCGGTCCTTAATATAGGACCCAATTGTTGAGTTGATTTTGGTCCTAAATATAATACCCATTTTTCATATTTATCATTTTTTTTAAATTACCTATATGGATACTTTCTCAACTATAATCAAGTAGAAGAGAGAGAGGGGCTATTAAGAAAGATAATTATGGTATTTTAGAAAAGCGTGTCACATTTCTTATAATTAACTAACTTACCTAACTTCCTTAATTTAATCAAATTAGTTAAATGGGTCTTATATTAAGGACCAGAGGAGTATTGTTATATATATATATATAAATTAAGCTCTAATTGTAATTTCTGTTAATGAATTTTAAAAATATCAAAATATTTGGGTACGGTGTTCTTTGAAAAGAATTGAAAATTTGCGCTCTTGATATTATAATCAAAATCTCTTGAAATATGTATGTAAACAATAATTTATTACCGGCACAAATCTGAAGGTAATTCAAGGATATCAAACAGTGATATGTATATGTAAGATATATGAAACTACAGGGAATTACAATAAAGTATTGGGGGAAAATAGGGCAACCAAAACAAGTTGGCCAGAGCTGGTGGGAGTAACAGCAGAAGAAGCAGAGAAGAAGATAAAGGAAGAGATGGAAAGAGCAGTGATCCAAGTGGTGCCACCTGATTCTTTTGTGACTATGGATTTCAACGCCCAACGTGTTCGTCTCTACGTTGATGAATCCCTCAATGTTGCCAAGCCACCCACCATCGGCTAATTCTATATTACATTAATATATATATATATAATATATATATCACCAAGAGAAACACCAAAATAATCTACTTTTAATTACTACCTCTTCAAATAGCAGCGTTCTACTTCTTTTTTGCTACCAAAAAAAGCATGCATCTCTGGATGAATAAATATGTGTACACATTGTAAGCTCAATTATCAGAACTACTATGAAATACATTTCGTGGAATCTTGATTAAGATTAAGATGAGAAAATTAATCTTTTATTCCTTCAACTTTTAATTCAGTTATAAGTGATAACTGAATCTTTTAACTATGATTTAGTATCACTCAGTTTTTGAATTTTTAACCTCATTAAAACTTAGCTCATAATTTTTTTCCCATTTATTAAATTATTAGTCATTGTCATACTGAGTAATAGTTACGTTGAGGGATTGAATTATGTATAACAATGATTAATTTACTAAATAGGAAAAGATCAGAAACTGAGTTTCAATCAAGTTAAAAAATTCAAGAACAATTAAGTGTCTGTTTGGTTGAGCTTATAAAGTGATTTATAATCTACTCATCAACTAAAAGTTACATTAAATAATTTTGATTGTGTTTGATTTCACTTTTGGCCCATCTAACTTATGGGCCAAAAGCTGTTTTTTAAGTATGATTATAAAAGTATCTAAAACTTATTTATAACTTATGCAAAAATAGTTTTGGAATCAAAAAACATTTTTGCTCATATGTTTATGTTTTTCTTGCTTCCTAGTTAGTTTTTAACTATTTATTTTAATATTATCTTAAGTAAAAATAATTTTTAACATAGTTTTTATAATATTTTTAATTTTTAATTTTAATTTTATTTTATATTTACATAAATGTGCAGATTATATTATCTAATTAATTATGTAATATTATTTGATTCAAAAATTTCATATTACTATGATTTCTAATTTAAATATAACATTTTCCTATTATAATAATCTAAAATTATTATATTTTCTAAATTCATATTTTTAATTATTTTTATTATTTAATAAAAGCCATACCTATTTTGATCATTCGATAAACTAAATTTACTTATCCAATTATAATTTAAATAACTTTTCTACTTTACAAACTAATTTTTTATAAAAGCTAATCTAAACATAAATCACATTATCTAATCTAATTTTTATTCAATCTAATTTTTTTAAAAAAGTCATATTAAGAATAAATTATTTTTTTTACCGCCAATCCAAATAGACCCTGAATTGTGCTGTGTTACAATTAAAAGATTTGTACAACTATGGGGTCAAAAATTATGGAAGTGAAATATTTTTAATTTTATTAAATGCTAAATTATATAAAAGCTCCATTAACTATGAGTCAGTTGCATATAACCTTTCTAATATTTTAAAGTTTAATAATTTTCCTAATCTTTTATTTTTTTTACTATTATCTTTTTAACGGAAATTGTCACGTCAAATTACTAGAAGATATGTGGCACGTCATGTGGCATCTTACGTGACATTTGATGATTTTATACTAATTATTATTTTGCACACAAGGATTAAATCGTGATTTTATCATCAAAATAAACCCTCCTTCTCAACCCCATTATTGTCCACTTGAAGAAAATTGAGCCTATTTCCTACTCTAGATCACAATTCAACTGACTACGAGCCATTTAACATGGATTTTGAAGAGGAAAAACCTTCAATATCAGATAATGGCACAGACATTTACATTGAAGTAGCCAAAACTCATGACTGGACTTAAATTTGCTTGCACATATCATTCGTTGTCTTGCTTAAATTAAATTTCTTTACGCCTCTTTTCATTTGGGATTTAAAAGTAGCGGTTGAAAAAAATTTTCTCCATTTACACATCAGTTAAGTTATTGACTATATGGAGGCTTCTGGAATAAAGTATAGCTTAGCTTAATTACAATTATTGCTCCGGTCATATTTATCGTCTCCGTTACATGCGTTAATTGGAATTGGATGTTGCTCAATACAGGAAGAGTTTGTCCATTCGCGTATCAGTTTTGATGTTCTGAGGCCGAAGAGTTTGAAGACGGCGCGACCGACGAGACATCAGGAGAATGAGGGTTTATTTTAATTAATGGTAAAATAACAGATTAATCCTTATGCGAAAGATATATAATTAGTACTCCTCGTGTCCTTAATATAGAGCCTAACGTGAAAGTTAACGTTATTTTATATGTAAGATTTATTTTACATATTTATTTATTA